CTTCCATATATATATATATATATATATATATATATATATATTCAAAGCTCAATTCTTTGAAAAAAATCACAGACAATCTACTGACTACTAAGGAAGTTCCTTTTTTGAGGAAATTTTTACATTAGTGGACTTATTTAGATAAACTTCTTCGAAAGTACTTCTAGAAGAAAAAATTAGGAAGAAAAATCAAAATAAATTTTTTAATATACTTATGCTAACTTATGCATAAGTCCAAAATAAGATTTTGGACAAACTAATTGGAGAAAGATTCTAAAAATTAGCTTATATTAGTAGTTGTAGCTTATGAAAATAACTATTTCATTTTTGCTTTCGGGTTTTTTTATTGTAGAAGTACTTACAGAAAAGTTTACTTAGATCTATAGACTTCAACAATCATGTGACAAACCTCGAACTTACTTTTTGGTGGGAGCACAACCTTGGCTGGAATATAAGCCTTTGCCACGGCTTGAGATGCATCATCTTGGTGGCTGAAACAATAAGGCATGCCCTTCAACAACCTTGGCCCCCATAACTCCCCAATTGCCATCAGCTGAACCACACAAGTCCAAAGTATGACTGTAGTGATGGCACGAGCCATCCACACCTTGATCCTAGGCCTCACAATCAACCTCTTGGACTTCACAATTTCATCACCACCTAAAACATTGAAACCCATCTCCATCTCCTCACTGTCACAGTGATCACCTTTTCCATCAGACACCCTTGCCCACCTCAGCATCATTTCCTTTTTTTCTCCCTTAAATATTGCTTACACCCAAATCAGTGGCGTGAACTTAACTCTTCGGTCTTCAATGAAGGGCTTCAAAAAATAAGAAGAAGAAAGAGAAACAAAATTTAAAACAAATAAATCTTGAATTTAATGCGTCTTAATAAATGGCATAAATCAATACCAAAACCGAAGTTGAGGCTTGAAGTTGGGATATTTCAAGTAAAATAATTAATGCTAACCAAACGAAAACCATTGACCACGCTAATAATTAAAATCTGAAACCAAAACCAGAAATCATTAACCCCACACCCCACCAAACAAGGAGATGCTCAGAATTAATTCACAGCAAACAGGTGACACCTTGAAACCATAAAACCTCATTGAGTTTTCAGAATCCATAGCACTAAAAGATTGTTAGCATTGTGAGTTTGTGACTCACATAACAATAGCAACAACTACTACTATACTACATTCAAGATCATGCAAGTTGCAACCATAAGCTAGGATAGTGAAGAATACCCAGAAGGAAAAATGTGAATTTAAATTGAAATTCCCTCAAATGGGTCTAAAATTCGCAGGTTTTCAATTGCATTGCTGAAGTGAATAGCAACACAGAACAGAAGAGAAGAAGATATAAAAAGAGTGTTTTGAGCTGTGTTAAACAGCAATGGTGAAAGAGGTGAATTTGGAAGATGGGAAATATAATTTTCCGGTAAGATTCCGGCGAGGGTGGCCGGAGAAGAGAAGTGGAGAAGGAAATGGAAAGAGTTGATATAAAAAGAAGATAAATGGGATAAAAAGAAAGCTATACTTAAGGTGGTAGAGAAGGTGGCATTAGTAATAAGAGAGGTGTCATGTGGGACCCATTTTAACTGTAACAAACCCCACTTTCCTCTTTATATAATTTTTTTTCTAACTTTTAATATATGATTTTTTGTTTATATAACAAATATTCTCCATTAAAAAACAATCATATTTTGGGTAGAAGATATCAATTATTTACTCGATAAATATTTGCTATATATATATATATAAAAGAGGATTTAAATGATATTAATGTAATTTTTATTAAGTATTACATGTTTAATAATTTTATATTAAATGTAAATTTTATAAATTTAACTGTTAAATTGAAAGTTTTTTATTCTTAGATCATATATACAAAATTTTATATTATTTCAACATGATTTGATATTTTATTTTTATAAAATAAAATTGACATAATATATATATTTCAAAATATAATAAAATATAAATACTTTGATTACTTTCAAGTTATTGTTCAATTTTAATAAAATTTTATATACACATATTACTTAATACACATATAAAATGATATAAACTTTCAATCTAACAATTAAATTTATAAAATTTATATTTAATATAAAATTATTAAGCAGTGTAATATTTAATAAAAATTACATCGATATTATTTAAACTTTCCTCTCTCTCTCTATATATATATATAATAAGAATCAATGAGTTCAATCTCCTAACTATATACATGTATAAACACGTTAGCGAAATTCTTATCAATACTATAATCTTTATTCCATAGACATACATTAACCTTATTTTTTAAAATAAAAATAAGCTTGACTCACAATAATTATTTTATTAATTAATTTTAAAGCTCTATATATAATACATTAATTTTCTCAAATATTTATCAAAAATACGCTTAAATATTTTTTAATTTAAAAGTCAATGAAAAATTCATGATCAATTGTGTGATGATTGTTCAGCTTAATCATTAACTTAAAAATTATGGGTATAAAATCATATTAAATATTTAGAAGAAGAGTTTTTATCACTTATAATAATTCTATATCTACTTAAATATAATTGCTTCTAATTTTAAAAGAAAAAAAAATAATGAAAACGCATGTGCATCTTAACTTCTAAAAGTTATAAGAATATTAATGTGTCTATATATACTATTGAAGAAATTTGACTATCGTCCTTAGCCTTTAGTGCATGATTGGTATTGTCTTGAGCGTGCATTAAAAGAAAAATAGCTGTAAATACACTGAAGCTATAAATATTTACTTTTGTAAATATGGATCAATTTTGGCACAACAAATCAAAATACTAAATTAATAAAATATTCTGCCTCTATGTTTGTGTGTATCCTTTTCGGTAAGTTTCAATTATGTGATAGTATATTGTTATTCTTTACATAGATAGTAACTTTACTATCCTTATTTTCTTTTTTTAGTAAGTTATTATTATTTTTTTTTTCCATGTAGAAATCAAGAATAATAAGTCAAATGTAACTGTTCACAGCTTTTTCGACATATTTGAGTGCAAAAGGAAAATAGGAACCGCGTAAGATGCCTTATTGTCAGAAAGACTGAAATAATGTATACATTGATGTTTCTTTATTAAAAGCTTTATTTATTTATGAATATATATACATAATATCTTCTTAAAATTATCAAGTTCGTGAACTGATTAATCGCGCGAGATTATTTTAATTTAATAAGTAAGTTTAAAATTTGGGTATTAAATAATTAATTTTGTTAAAATCTTGAATTAGATAATTTTACTTTCTTTAAATAAGATTATTTTCGGTGAGAAATACTCGTGGTCTTTAAAAAAAATAATCACGGTTAAAAACTCAAAATTGAAGGGATTAGTTACTTTTAGATATTTCCACCAAGTTTTGTTTTTAAAGGTGTGTAAACAAATTGTAAAAATTAGGGAGTATATTAGATTAGGATTTTAAATGATTTTTTTAGTTGAAAAAAGTTTTGTGAATTTTTAAAATTTTGCAGAATTTTCATGACTTTTAAGATTTTGTAGGACTTTGTAAGATTTTAAATCAAAATTTTAATGGATTTTACAAACTTTTAAGTTATGATTTTAATGGATTCTGCGGGATTTTGTGAACTTTGCAAAATTTCGTAGATTTTTTACATAAGATAAGAGTTCGAGATTTTTTTCATACATTTAAATTTAAAAAGACTTAAAAACAAAAATATTAAACAAAATAACAATGTCGGGATAAATAATAATAATAATTCTCCGATCTGTAATATTATGTCCTTCTAAATAATATTCGTCCACATATTCATAGTTATACTAATCCTCCAAGCATTAACATCTTTTTACTTTTGCTCTTGGGTTTTAATAATAGGCTCAAAATTATGATTTTCATTAATCGGTTATGTTGAAGATGAAGGTTTGTCTACCACTCCAATTAAAAATTCATCAGAATAACATTCTTTACGAAGAAAGTTATGTAGTGTTACACATGCTAAAAATTATTCTAAACAACATTTCAAATCTTTTATAATTTTTTATTTAAAATATTTTATTTATAAATTTATAAATGATTAAAAAATAGTGGCATAGCTACCCTACTCTCTTATAATTAAATATGTCTCTGCATTTTATATTGGTATTTGAGTGAAAGTTTGGTTTTCATACAGTTTTATTCATTTAAAATATCTTAGAAATTTACAAACATCAATTAGGAGAAAAAATCTGAAATTTGTTACAGGTGCAAAATAATTTTTTAAATTTTTTAATTGTTTTCAATTATTTACTTGTGTAGAAATATTTTTAGTATTAAATTCTAAGATACTATAATATCTTATGTTAATTTTCTTTTTTAAAATATAAAAAATTCTAATTTCACAATATAAAAATTAAAAAAATAAAATTCATAGTAAAAAAAATAAAAATAATTGTTGAGTCATAAAAGGGGAAGGATAACAATGACAAAATTCAAGAGAGGGAGAGAGATCACAGTTTTTATGCTGAGAGGGTTCTTCCTCCAACTAAGATTCATTCTTATCTCATTTTACTTATAGAAACACCTAAATCAAATTCATCTTGTATATATATATATATATATATATATATATATATCACTCTAATAAATCTAAATTGATTACAAGATCTTGAAGATCTACGGTTGATTATAGAGATCATGATATCAATTTTAGCTTTCACATTTTCCTTTTCTTGACGCATGTTATAAAAAAAAATTACTAAACAGAATAAAATAGAGCAAGTCAATGACACTATTATTTACGTACAGGAGTTTCACCAAATATGGAAATAGAATGAGAATAGTAGTACAGTATTATATATGAGAAGTAGTGCAATATTATTAACAAGAAAAAAAATGGAGAAGACATGAGCATAGAAAAAAAAAAAAGATAAAAAACTCACTTGGAAATTCTTGAAACATTTAAATAATCACTTCGAACAATCCTCCAAAATCTAATGAGTTTGGATGAGATTGTTTTATGAATTTGGTATTTATAAATACCACTAAAAAGTCCTTCAAAATCTCTCTAATACAACAATTCTTTAAAATCCCTATATTTTCGAATACCAATGGATTGTTTTTGTAACGTGGTAAGTTATTACAGAAGGCCCAAAAGCCCAGTATGGGTGATTTAGTAGCCTAGAACGGGTCGTTCCAAACTACTAAATTGACCTAAAAATCGTAGTTGAGAACGGGTCGTTCCAAACCCCAGAACGGACCGTTCTAGATGGAGTACGGGTCGTTCTGGATGGAGAACGGGTCGTTTTGGATGAGTCCCAAAACAAGCTGTTCTGGTTTCAGAACGGGCCGTTCTACGTGTGATTTTTGCACATGATGAAGGGGTGTAGAACGGGCCGTTCCAGATTCAAAACGGGCCGTTCTGGCCACTCCTGAACTTCTATAAATAGGGATTGTGTGGTTGAGGAGAAAGTGAAGTTTTCTAGAGAGAAGGTTTAGAGAGAAGGACTCTGGGTCTATGAGCTCCTTTCTCTCCCAAATTTCTTTGTATGATTCTTTTTCTCTTATAGATCACTAATGTCTTCTGTCTTTTCTTGAAATTCAGACTAGGAAGCTTGCTTTGGAAGGATTGAAGTTCCGGGTTGAGCTACGGAAGGGAATTCTCCTTCTTTTCAATTATTGGCTATTTTGAGCCAATCTTCAAGTAAGGGAAGCTAGAATGTTTGTTGTATAGGTTGCATGTGAGTTTAGAAACTCAATTGATGCATGAAAGTCGAGGATCCATGGTTGGATCAGAGAATTTGCTCATTTTTCGGGGTTTTGGAAAAAATGGAGTTTTTGGTGATTTTGATGCATTGGATGGGTGCATGTGAGATTTAAGTTTATTTTTGAGTTGTATGGAGCCTATGCATTGTGTTTTGTGTTTGCATGTGGTTGGATTTGTTGGTTTGGATGAGAGTTTTTGAAACGCTCTAACTAGGACTAGGTCAGGTGCGCTCAGGCTGCGCAGGGCATGAACATGTTTATTTGTGATAGTTGAAATGATGCTTTGGCATGTTTAAAGTTGAAGTTTTAGATCATCTATGTATGATATATGATGTATGTTGAGGTGTGATTCATATGTATGCTTGGTAATGATATATATGAATGTATAAATATGATATGACATGAGTATATGTTCATATGAGTATGATTGTTGATCATGATGGTGGGTAGACCTTGTATGATGTATGATGCATTATTGCATGTGATGTCTTATGACATGTGTATGATTGTTGATCATGATGGTGGGCAGACCATGTATGATGTATGATACATTATTGCACGTGATGTCTTATGACATGTGTATGATTATTGATCATGATGGTGGGCAGACCATGTATCATGTGTGATGCATAATTGCATGTGATGCCTTATGGCATGAGTCTAGCCTAGGACTTGAGGAGAGGAAAAATATTTTCGAACTGGAAGAGCTCACATAGAGTCTCTTGAGAGTGGTTCTTATATAGGCCACTGATATATGAGAGTGGTGCTCAGGTAGACCACTAGGTTGG